GTTATATAAGAAATAATAATATAATATAATTGGTATTACTTTGTAAATATAAGCTTGTATTACAGCCTTTTTCACATCTTGTATTACACAAACTGTATTATATAAATAACAATATAATTTGTATTACTTTGTAAATATAAACTTGTATTGCACAGATTGTATTATACATCCATGTTCTCCATGTATTTAGTAATTATTAGTTATTTAATAAATAATATTAAATATTATCAATGAATAAGTGATCATTGGTGTTATTAGGTAGGTAATATGCTGGTGTCTCACTCTGAACACAGTCACTTAGCGTTCTCCCGCAGCTATCAGCCGCTGTTGTTAAAGCACAAGCGGGATGTTTGTTAGCGGGATCTCGACGGATCTGGCAGCTGTTTCAGAGCCTGATCAGACGCTTGAGCAACACGCAGGTTCCCGCGGGCCGCTGTGTCGAGATGCGAGGGTCCCTCCGAGGGATTAGGACCCTTAAACACCACGTTCACTCAGACTGGGAGAGAGAGAGCGAGAGCTGCGAGGGGAAATGCAGCTGGAAGACACCATTAGGAGGAACTGGGCGGCATTTGAATAAATCGAGTCATTAGGTAGCCGTTTGTGTGAGTGCCGTCACCACCTGACAATCCCGCCGCGCGCACTCACTCGCGTTTCTTCACTCGTCTCCCGTACGAAGTCGAGCAGATTGCCTCGTTTGCATTCGCCGGCGTAGCAGACGCTCGGAGAGACCCCCACCTCCTCTCCGTCCGTCCCTCCCGCAGCTCGGCAGCGCCTCGCAAACCTGTTTCCCTCCGCACTCGCCTTCTGGAGAGACAGATTCATCTCGCCGCGCCTGCCTGTTCCTCCGTCTTTCATTTTTCAGTTTTTATTTATCACATATGGCTCAGAAATGCATCAACATATAGATCCTATTGTCTGTTGCCCATGCGGCCCTACTGTTATAGACAATAGCTGATGAGTTTGTTTGAACCTCGCGAGATCCGTCACGGCTGTTGCGGTCGCTTTGCTGAGAGCATCGGGTTTTGCGAAGACGCGAGAAACCGGCGTTTCTCGCTGTATGTTTGGAACACAACTCGCAAAACGCTGATGTCCACTGTTTGCAACTACATTAATATACTTACTGTAGCGCGCCGTCAACAAAATGATCATACGGCTTATTAATGCAATGTGTTTTGGATGAATTATATATCAAAAGCATAAGGAAGGCGGTGGTGTTGAGGCGGGATTGGAGATGACCGGCACGCCGAGGATGGAGAGTCCAGATCTGTGGTGTAGGTGGATGCATCATTCTTGGACTTCGTTAAGTATGTAGTGAATACTTAACGAAGTGTACATGAAATCAGAGTCAACCCTGTTTACGTTCCCGTATTGTTCAGGATTCATCCGTGCGTGTTGTTCAGATGAAAATAAAGTTAGTTTTCGTTATATAACTTGGGATGTCAGACTCTAAAACCTTTCTTGTTGGCTGACGTCACCCTCCTCCCTCAAACCACCTGTCATATAGAGACGTCCAATCAAATCCCAGAGGATTCAATCAAGTCCCCTCTCTCTGAAATACAGCAGATTATGGAAGTCAAATGAGCTGCGAGTGGCGTTTCAGACTGACTTCAATAGCAAGCAAACAAATGCAATTTACTGATTGCAGTAAATTCTATAATCATTGGTTGGTTGGTTGGTTGATTGATTGATTGTCAAATTTATTGCTGTTTTGTTCAATACAAGATTGGATGATATTTTAAACTATTGGAGTATACAGTATATAGTATATTACAATATACTTAGAATTTTAGTTTATTATAATTAAATTCATATAAATAATTCATATGATAAATTATACATTCATATTATAAATGTAAATTTTATAAATATTAATAAATAAATAATTGTATAAATATTACAATATAATATGCTATATATTATAAGAATGTAATATGATGTAATATACTAGTATTTAGTATGTAGTATGGTTGTATTCCATTCCAAACACAGCCATGTTCTCTATTTAGTAATTATTATTGTTAAATATTAATATTACTGATTATTAATTAATATATCAAGTCAAGTTTATTTGTATAATGATTACATCAGGTTATGGGAGTAAAGTGGGTTGCGAGTGACATTTCAGGTTGACTTTAACAGCAAAATTATTGCAATTTTTTTTTGTTTTTTTTTGATTGAGCCACGGTTTATTATACATATATAAAATTATAATTACAATATAACTTGC